TTTCCAATACACCCAGTAGACACAGAAATAGCATGCAACTAACCTTTTTTGTTGTTTTGCGGAACCTTTTCTTTCTGACATTCTTAAGTGGTGGAGTAACTAAAATAAATTCAACATGGTGAAATGAATATAAGACTGATGATAGTCACATATCTGTCTGAATTTGATAAGGAAAAAGGTCATGTCATAAACTACTGGCTCATGACATTCCTTTAAAGAGTGTCTGGATGCCTAATGAACCAAACACTTAAGTGTGGTAAACGGGTCCCTGGATCACAAGTAATTAGGATTCAGCAGATAAATGTAGTCAGCCAGAATGAGTAGGGGGCTGGTGACTTACTGCCATGCTTCCAGACATATTTTTTCTGTCTCTCCTTTTCACTTTCCCCAATTACTTTAATATCAGTAGAGGTAACTTGTTCTTCCGGAGAAGAGTGGAGATCACCATCAGTAGTGCACACAAGCATCTACATTTAACGAAGACAAAGAAGTTGACTATGGCCACAAACCTTGAGTTAGTAATGAATTGTGATCATTCTTACCACTAGAAATCCTGGAGCATTGAAGTAAGGAGAATGTTAGTTGGCATTTCCTGAAAACCAAGTATTATATACGTTCATATTCATTCTCTTTCTGTCTCGGCAGCACTGTATGCAGGCTCTGAGTGTTTTATTAGCTTGAGTGCTTACTACTGCAGAAGGAATGTTTTGAAAATAAATATATCTTAGCATTTTGATTTAGAAAGGAAACAAGAAATCAACAATAGAGATAGTGAATAAGAATCAGTGTTAACCTCCACAGTTAACAGTGTACTGCTTTAGCAGAAAGTTCAAAAGAAAATCCCAGATGTTCAAATAATTAAAGTCACTATAAATGACAAACAGGAGGCTCGAAGAGCTATTTGGATAAAATAAAGTAGTGAAAAGTTATGGATCAAACACCAAACCAGAACACACCACTATATTCCTGTGCAATTGAGCTGGAAATTAGAAATGACAGGTAGCCATTCACCAAGTGGAAAGAAGAACTGAATAAAGAGAAAAGGAGGGAGAAAGGGATACCTGCAAGGATGTGAGAGCTAGAAGATTAAGAAAACTCGTCCATACCTGGGAAATATCTGCTGTTTTATAAAAGGTTTTGTTATCGATAGTTTTCAGGCTTCCGATAACACAAGGCAAGTCAACCAGCTTAGCATTTAGTGAGACATCTTCCACTTCAACAACTGCATGACGTCCATCAGCTGAAGAGAAGCAGAAAAGATTAAAGTTGACATCTTCCCAATGTACTCTTAACCCTCCTAGGGTTTGAATAATGAAGACTTCTGTGGGACAAACTAGTCTTTTAATGAAACCTGCTATTTTTATAATACCACAACTGTGTATGCAATTAGTAACTCCCCAGAGAAAAGAAGGCAGAGTATATAAAGCTCTTTTTCCAGTTTATGTCACTCCATCAAAACCTAAAAAATGTTACTGAAAAAGAGAGAAAACTATGTCACCTTTGCAAACAAAGAACAGTATATTCGTCGTTCCCTTAGTCAGAAGTCACAAAGCTTGTATGTATGAGACAATCAGCAGTATGCAAATCCCACAGCTGACCCCCAAGTTCTTCCTTATACACACTATGACAATTACGAGTTGCATAATATTTTCTTCCTTTCTTTTTAAAAGAAGAGATGGGAGTGACTTAAGCCTCTCCTAGAATCCATAAGACAGAGACCACATTTAATTCTTTGTCGCATCCATAGAGTCAAGCATAGTGCCTGGTGCATAGCAATCTCTTAAGAAATTACTGTTCAGTGTATGGTGAATAGATATTAACTACTTACGAGATAAGTTAATTTTTAGTTTATCCTTTATGGCAGCACTTCCGGAATGTACCATCTCCCTAACAGTAGAAGCATGCTCCTAAAAAGGAGGTAAATTGACAAATCAGAAGGATGAATTGTCTATTTGGAAGCTAATAGAATTGATATTTCAGAGACAGTGCCCCTTAAATAAAACCTAAACTTCCCAAACTTTTGAAACAATGCAATGTACCATGAGATACCATGCATCGTGCAAGTCAAGTTAGGATGAGACTGACTCTAATCTCATTTCTGTCTTTTAGTAGCTACAGTTAATGCCTTCTCCTACCTCTGTATTCCTGCCACTCACTGCTGCCCTTCATTTGTAGTTGCTAAGGAAGAAAAGGCTTAGCTGCAGTTTACTGAGTATATTAATTAACCCTAATTGGGGAAATAGCTTTCTGAAGCCCATACTTAATATAGCTTTCATAGACTAAATGATAGTTGAATACAGGTCTCAATGGGGGAAGAGGATCTAACACAATATTGAGATGGGCTTCAACAGCCTTGCATGGTGATGAATTTGCAGGACACAGTGCTGGTCCTTTTCACTGCCCCTTTTGAGGTGACAGAAAGGATTTTAGAAGAGTCTTATTTTGGCTGTCCAGTGATCAGGCTGTTAGCATCTGTGATAAGTGACTGAATCCATCATTGTCACAGCTGTTTGTCTAGAAATCAACCTACACAATAGGTGGTATGTATGGGACAAAAGAAATACTGCTAAAAGTGCACACACTAGGCTAAGACTTCTTAATAGAACATGATTCCTGAGAAACAAATGCTCTCAGTTTTTATAGCCTACCTAAAATAGAAATGCTACAGAATCTAAGCAGATCAAATACTTATGCACTGAAGATATTTGTTCTGAGACACAAGGGTTTCTTACCGGAGGCAGACGCAATATAAACTGGTTCTCAAGTTCATAAGGAGGTTCATGCTGGCTTTTACTCATCTCTTGTTTTTGAGTTCATGAAAACAAAAACAAAACCAACAGAAAGTCACCAAAAACTCCTTACTTCCTCTGCTGACTATATCTGGTAGTACTGGTTAAATTACAAAATCTTGCCCATAATTTTCACTGGAATGGTGTGTGTACCCTTCTGAAATACATTTGACATAACTTTATTATAATTTCTAAAAGTCGTTTTATCTCCTCTCCAATATGTGCAGATTTTCCAAAATTAATCTAAAAACCATGATAACAAATGAAGTCAGAGCTGTTATGAAACATGACTTAGTCTTTTTAATGATATTTAGTGACTCTCAGGTAAAAGACTGCAATTCATTAACACAGTGGGGGCTACTGAAGCAAACTACATACCTCTGCAGGAGAGTGTGCCAACCAAAGGCCGAAATCAACCCTAAAACCACTGGCAAAAATGTTCTATGATGATTAGAAGGAAAACAAGAGCTTAATTTTCAATATTTCATTTACTTTAATGGATTGGTAGGAATTAACAAGCCCATGGGAGAGCAGGCAGCTTTCTATGACTCTAGAGCCAGCATAAACAGCTCAGAGCTACTTTGGGAAAAGTTCAGTTCTTATGGCTAAGGTATCTATATGAGTACACCTAACTTCATGGGACTCACACATTCCTGAAAGGTGATAGGAAAGAACATAAAATCACATTTGATTTATTCATTATTAACATTTATTTCATGCATTCTATGCGCGGCCACTACGATGAGTATTTTAAATGCCCCTAAAAACTATTTATATATTACACCTTCTGTAAAGTGAATAATTCCCTCCAAGTTCATCTTTATTTTTCATCTTATTTTCCATCTATTTGAGATATATCTGAAGTGGTTTGCATTTTAGGTTTTGGGGCCCACACTTCTGAGGACTTTTTCTGTCAAAGGTAGAAAGAAAGCAATGTACATATATGAAACCTGACATTTTTTTTTAATGTTTTAAGGACATAATACTATACTATACATCAAGTTATAAAATCTTATACCTTAAGTTAGATTAATGTACAGCTCCTAATTCTGTAAACTATTTACTGGGCTCTGAGTTTTGAATTTGGATATCATTTAAGAACAGTGAAATCTTTTTGAAATAACACATATACGTAAGTCTGAGACCCTCTTATGGTGAAATCACTCACCAATTTTGATTTCAGTCCCTTAGTATGACTTCAGAAACTACCAGAAAATCATAGAAAACACAAGAGAGGCCAGCAGTAGAAAAGAAGAGATTATTTGTGATAATCATTTCTTTTTTTCCTCCTTCATACAGTTACACACACACACGCACAATGCAAACATAAGAAGGATAGTTAATTAAAATAAAGCAAATTAAATAAAAAATTGGGGGTTGGGAACATTGCATAACAGAACAAAGAGTAACAAACATGTAAGACTTGCAAGAGAAATACAGATTATTTGGAGGACGAGCTGCTAAGCAAGATTTTATCACATCAGTAGTAACTTTTAGATTTCTCAGCAGAACTAAGACTAGGGCATTTTGTTCATTTCAATGCCTTTCTGGCAACTCCTCTCCCATGAAAGAATTTAAAACCGAAACTATTTCAGAGAAGGTGGACAACACTGCCTGCAATTAGTTTTTAATATTTTTTTAAAATTTGTTACCTGCATTTAGCCAATGAACAGGTTGTACTGTATTTAAGAAAAGGCATGTACTTTTTTTCCAGCAAGCACTCTTTAATACCTAATTAAATTAACAGGACCGCTCTCCACTTTCACCCCCGTCCCAGTTCCATCTCGCGTCGGTGGAATTAGATTTGGAATTAGAATTATAGTTAGCTGGAAGGCGCTTGACAGTATGCTCCAGGCGGCACAAATCGGCACCAGCAGAAAGAGGCATTTTTCTCAAGTTCATAGCCGCTGGCTGCAGTTTCGAGGCAACAGCCACTCCATCCTTATTCTAGGGGCACTAAGCTTCCAAGGGGAGAGTCCAGCTCCTAGACTTTGATCCCATTTCCCAGGAAAATTAACGGGTCCCAGCCTCGCCGTTAAGGTGGCCAAGGAAGGGAAGCAAGGTGCGCTGGCGCAGGGCGCTGACCCGCCCGGGGAGCCCTCCCCGGCCCCCCTCTCCGACCCCTACTCACCCGCAACTCCGCTGACTCGCGCCAGCACCGGAAAGGCCGCACAGGTGTGGGTACCCGCCTCTCTGCCCCGGGGGTTCCGGTGGAGACGTGCGGGGCTCCTGGGCGACGGGCCGTGGAGTCGGACGGCAGGCGGCGGGTGGACTGTGCAGCG